ATCCTCCCCCTCAGTGTGAGTGCGTGATCCCAAGTCAATCTGTCGATTACATCATGACTGGCTGTAAGCTGAGGGCATAAACTGGTCCAATATCTGTTTTTTTTTAATATAAATGATGCTGCGCTTAAATGTTAGATAGACTAGATATTGGTATTTGAACATAGAACTTTTTAACATTTATATTTTATGGTGTTTTATTAATCTAGATCAGGCATGTCAAACTCGCGATGTCACGTGACGTCGCACAACGTATCGGGCCGGTTTTGCCATTGCCGGCAATGGGATGGGCGCAGCTTCCACGTGATGCGTCCGGCCCGTGGGCCGGTAGTTTGACACCTCTGATCTAGATGGAATGTTAATTTATATATTGTAGTTTATGTATGATATGCCATACGCTAAATAATACTGTTAGCAATGATGTTTGGCATTTCTTGTCTAGACTACCTCAAAGGGCTGATAGGACCTTAATGTCTTTTTAAAAAAATTGTGATTCATTCTGTTGCTTTAATGAACTTTTAGCCTGCCTTTACAGTATGTACTCTCCTAAGATGCCTTCCATGATTTTTTTTTAAAAGCAAACCAAATATTTAAAAGCAACCAACTATCAATGTCACAATAAAGGTCACGGATAAACTTAGTCTTAATTTTAAAAACTGTTTGCTGCTCTTGTTATCCTATTCTATTTATTATTTTTCAAGCTTGTAGCAGAAATGTCAAGATGGCTATCTGAACAGGGCAGTGAATATGTCTACAGGACAGGTCTACAATGAACATTATGCTGCCACAACCACTATCTTGACTTGCTTTTTTTTAAAAAAAAAACCAACCCTGCAGCTATTCCTGCCTATAGCTTGAGAGCTTACCCTTTTCAATATCAGTATAAAAAGTTAATCAAACTCTAGATTAACTTTTAGCAAATTTAAAAGGGGACTAGTTAAAAAAAGCCAAATCCTACAGGAAACATTATTTTTTTAAATGGCATATGTAATACGAAGAAAACTATCTAGAATCTTGATTAAGAGGTGATTAACCACCATAAATGGGCTGTCTTTGGTCACAAAGACAAAACAAACAAAGGCAAAACAAAACAACACATGTCTGCTAACTTGTAATGATTCCAATTTATCACATCCATACCCAGACTTTAGGTGCCACTGATTAGATTTAGGACACTTTCAAAATATTTTGTTTTGGTTTTCTGTAATAAGCATGTTTTTTCACTGTTGCATCCATCTAAATAGCTCTTCTTTTCATTTGTTTCAACATAAGCAAGTATTAAGTGAGGCATATTACAGCAAAATCTCTTCAGTTGTTCTTATGGGTGTGAGCAGGGACTGACCAATCAGGAAAGGAATTTGGGATAGTGATGCTTAAGAAAAATGTTGACATCATGTAGGTTTCAATTTCCATCCTTGATATCATAAAGAGTAGGCAACAGTCATTATCCTAATGCTTTAATATAACTCTATGTACACCATGAAGGCAATATTGGATTATATATATACAAGTAGTCTTTGACTTAAACCATAATGGACCCTGCCCATTAAATATCAGGGTGGTTGTAAAACAGGTTGGTCACATGACCAACTCAAATTATGATCCTTTTGTGGCTATTGTTAAGTAAACACCATGGCCATAAAGTGAACCAATGGATCAATCTGGGCACAGTTTTGCTGAAAAATGTAGAAATACAGATTTTCAGCAAAACTCATAAAATGCAGTCACATGACTTCAGGACTCTGCAAACAGCTATAAACGTGGCCCTGTTGCTAAGCTCCTGAAGTTCAATCATTTGACCACAAAGGGGCGGCCATCAGAACATCAAATCCAGGTCATTAGTAGCCCCAAGATGAGTCCATCATAACTCCAGTGTTTCTCAACCTTGGCAACTTTAGCTGGAGAATTCTGGGAGTTGAAGTCCACACATCGTAAAGTTGCCAAGGTTGAGAAACACTGCTTCAAACAGTTGCTAAGCAACATAGCATAAGTTGAAGACTACAGTGCCTGTACAATGCTGGTTACTAAACTTCAACAAGGATACTGTAGAGCTGAAAAAGGTGCCAAAAGAAGCAATCAAAAAAATAACTGAAGGGGTGTGGAGGATTACTCTTCTATGGAAAGTGACAGCATTATGAGTTGTCAAGATCTCATAGGGTGGAGCCTGCTTCGTTGGCTCATGCCAAGGACCTCATTCAAGCTCCCAGCTGCCCTTGATGCAGTTTGTTTTATTTAAGAGAACACCTCTAAGTATAATTCAGGCTCAGGTGAACATCGGCATGGGAAATATAGATTTTAATCAAAGTTGCAAAAGCTACAAACTTCTTCTTTAATAGATAGCCATCCCACAGATAACTCAGAACATTTAATGTCTCCAGTGCCACCAAACTGTTTTCTTTCCCAAGAGCTGTGATGGTGCAACAGTTAGAATGCAGTACTGCAGGCTAACTCACTGCTTACTCCAGGAGTTTAATTCTGAGCAGCTCAAGGTTAACTCAGCCTTCCGTTCTTCCGAGGTCAATATAATGAGGGCCCAGATTGTTGGGGGGGGGGCAATATGCTAACTCTGTAAACTGCTTAGACAAGTAAAGCACTATGAAGCAGTATATAAGTTTAGTGTATTTCTATTGCTATTGATGGGGACTGCAGCCAAGAAATTAAAAGATGCTTGCTCCTGGGGAGGAAAGCTATGGCAAAACTAGACAGCATACTAAAAAGCAGAGACATCACCCTGCCAACAAAAGTGCCTATAGTCAAAGCCATGGTTTTCCCAGTTGCAATGTATGGATGTGAAAGTTGGACTATAAGAAAGGCTGAGCGACAAAGAACTGAGGCCTTTGAATTATGGTGCTGGAGAAGACTCCTGCAAGTCCCTTGGACTGCAAGGCATTCAAACCGGTCAGTCCTAGAAGAGATCAACCCCGACTGCTCTTTAGAAGGCCAGATCCTGAAGTTGAAACTCAAATACTTTGGCCACCTAATGAGAAGGAAGGACTCACTGGAGAAGGGCCTAATGCTGGGAAAGATTGAGGGCAATAGAAAAAGGGGATGACAGAGAATGAGGTGGCTGGATGGAGTCACTGAAGCAGTAAGTGTGAACTTAAATGGACTCCAGAAGATGGTAGAGGACAGGAAGACCTGGAGGAACATTGTCCATGGGGTCGCGATGGGTCGGACACGACTTTGCAATTAACAACAACAACACTTCTCAAATGAAGGCTTCGCTTTAGTTCTCTTCTCTCTCCTGAAATCTTTACAAGAAAGTTGCTGGCTTCAAAACAAAAGCACTCACTTCCCAGCAGATATCTTTTGCAATTGAAATTTCATTTCATTTCTCTACATATGCAATCCCACATACGTCTACTCTATAGTAATTTAAGAGAGTTGAGTGGGACGTACTCCTAGTTTAAGTGGGTGTTTGGGTCTCATTTTTATATGTGTCACAAAATGCATTCTCCATTCCCTGTGGCACCTCTTTGCCTTTATAGACAGGTTTGTTGTGGGTTTTTTTTTAAAAATCCCCATTTTACACTCCCTCTCTGCTTCTAATACAAGATCAGCTCCCAAAGGGGAAAAAAACGAAGCCAAATTATTGATCCAATGTACTGTAATCAAGGCCAAAATAATTCAAATGGAAATGTGTGTGTGTGTGTGTGTGTGTGTGGTTTTAAGCAAACAGCTCTCTCGTGGTGCATAATCAGACTGCACTCTTCTCCCTGATCTAAAATATGTGTAGGAGTAGCAGCCTGGCAACATATGAGTTAACAAGGCAGCACGTGTTAAGTTTAGCTGAGTAATGCACCTAGTTAAAGTTTTCAATGCAGCTGCAATTCAGAGTGAGAGAAAGAGAAAGAAAAAGCAAGCTCTGAAGCTGGTATTTCATGAGCTGGACTCATTTTAAAAGGGGTCATGAAAGCAAGGTCAGTAGCACACACTAAAATTAGGAGCCTGTTCTAATTTATCCTTTTCTTTTCCCCCACAGCATTTTTCCTTCAGCAGTCAGCGAGAAAGCTCAGCTCCTGAAGCTTATAACTCTTCCTCGGCAGTCTGAGTCACAAAGAGAGCAAGGTTGGATTGTTCAAGTTTAGGAAATGAAAGGAAGTCTCTCAGGAATTGCGACACTTGAAACATTTGATCGGACGTGATATACTAACTAGATTCAGTCTTCATTAACAGACAGTGTTTTGATGTGGGATGGCATGGGGCTCGTTTTTTGCAAGCCAGGACTTGAAATTAGGATTAAATATTGGTTCTGCTTTGTCTTGGCATACCGTTGGGAAAGGTGCTGAACAGGTTGGGTAACTTTTCTGCTGTGGGTGGAATAATATTCCCCCCTCTTTCAGGACTGGTATTGGATTGTCAACTATTAAAGACAAAGCAAGCTGCATTGCCAGTCTCTTGAAATCAAGCACAGGTTGTTTTATTTCCAGGTATGCCAAAACTGTGTCCTTTTATCAAGGTGACTTGCCTAAGAGAAAATTGGGGAAATGCAGAAAGGTGTTTTAAGATAAGGTGGGTAGATTCAGAAGAAGGGAGGGGAGGGGAGGGGAGAATGTGTTCAGCCATGTGTCTCGGCAGAATTCCTCTGTTTCTTCTGTATGTGATGTGATTGTTTGGTCACCTTCACAACGTAATTCTTTTTTGTGTGGTATTATTTGAAGATGGATGGATCACCCCACAATACATCCAAGAAGCATATTGTCTTACTGTGATCAGTTCAATTGGGATGGAAGGAACAAGATCTCTTTTATTCAATGGCTACCTGCAACAACAAATGGACTTTGGGTCTTTCTTGATCCCAGTTGGCCATTGGGTACAATTCTGTTTATCTAATACTTATTCAGACATGAATAATGTCACACTTACATTAGGAGCAGGGGAGAGACTATACCACGCAAACTGCCCAGTGAAGGATTTCTTGAAATGTTGGTGGCGTGCATTTCATAATATTGAAATATTTAGGCTCTATAATTTCTCTTTTCTGTTATTTTCTTTATAGAGTACAGTAGTTCTTCATGGGACGTTCCTGAGCAAACCAACTCCTTCCAACCGAATAGCAAGCATGTGAACTTTTCTAGATCTACTTGAAGGTGGAGTTTTGAACTAAGTAGAACATCAACATCATGGACAATTTATCTTTATTCGACATGCTAGAGTGTCCTGTGTGCTTGGAAAAGCTGGATGTCTCTGCCAAGGTGCTTCCATGCCAGCATACATTCTGTAAGCCCTGTCTCCAGAGTATTTTGAAATCACACAAGGAGCTGAGATGTCCTGAATGTCGAACCCTTGTTCTCAGCAATATTGAAGAACTGCCTTCCAACCTGTTTTTGATACGTTTATTGGATGGAATTCGGTTTGGACCAAACATGATGAAGTATGGCTCACTCCAACGATCCTCAGCCTTCTCCTCTCCTGCCCCCATCAGGAAAATGGGGGGAGAGCTCGATAAATATCGGATGACTTCCAGTCCCAGGATTCCTTTGGAAGAGGTAAGCAAGGACATTTCTTTCATCGCTACCTGTATTAGGAAGATTTTTTTCGCCACTTTTCATTTTTAAGGAGTTAGATGAATTCAGGTAATTATAAAGCAGTCTGACTTCTCTCTGAGGTCCCTACCAGTCTTAACTGGATTTGTACAACAACTCTTGCTTTCATTTTAAATGTATTCCATCTGGAACTATTTCCAGCCAAGAGTTTGACTCTTGAATTCTCAGAGGTTTGCCATCTCCAGCTGAGCCCAAAATTGAACTGAGACTTTTCAGGGTAATGTTATAGTACAGCTCTTTCCAGCTTTAGATTCAATCAGGAAATGGAGATATATATATATCAGGAAATGGAGATATATATCCATTTCCATATCCATATCCAGATTCAATCAGGAAATGGAGATATATATACATTCTAACCTAATAAGGTTAGAAATAGCTATCCCAGTACTCCCTTAATTCACACACACACACACACACACACACACACACACACACACATGAAAAAGCAGAACTATTTTCACACCTATCAAGGACTGAGAAAGGTTAGATTTTCACAAAACTTGCCTGGTGCTGTTACAAAAGTAGCTTTTTAAAAAAAAAAAAAAGTGTTGTTTGATCTTTTGAAAATGTGACAGGACCAGAATACGGATTAAAAAATAGGTCATTTGCGTCCTAGATTCATTACTTTTCTAGTAATTCCAGTCTACCTTAAATTAAATGGTATATATATGTGAATACATGTACAGGAAACCATTGAAAAGTTCATACAGACTCACACAAAATGATTGCACATGTGAGGGTACCAACTATATGGATCTGGGTGGCAGGTAGAGACAGCTTTCAGTTCATGTAATTAAGAACTTTTTTTTCTTAATTATAACCGTGTATGCTTTTTACACAATTTTTCAAGAGTATGAATTTGCAGGCAGGTCTCTGCAATTCACTCTTTGTTATGTGAGTGTTTTTCTATTTAGTATTGAAACCTGGCAGGTCTTGATCATCTTCTGACAATAGCCATTTTTAAAACTACAAAAATGCATTTAAAAGAACCACATTTTCAGGAATTCTCAAAACAAATTTAGTAAGAAAGAAGGCAGGCTATTCCAGTTTTATTTATTCGTCCTCTGTGTGGACTGCCTGGGATTCCCATAACCTGTGGAGGCTGGTATGTAGGGGAAGCAAAATTAGGATGTAAATAACAAGAGCAAATCATAATGGGTGAAGTCAATAGGAAGCCTTCACCCAGACTTGCCAAGCTTGAAGTTATCTGTAACCTAGATACGTTCCTAATTATACATCAGTATAGCTTCATTCTCCTTATCTCATTCATGTTGCAAATAAATCTACATAATTGGTTGTGTGCAATTCTTATTCCCCAAAAGTGGCTTTGATCACTCCTGTACAATTGGGCTTGAATGACCTAAGTGACTTTTTAATGTACATCAACAAATCACCTTCATTCGTCAACAAATCTAATCTACAGTGAACTAGGATATAGAATCTGCCTTAAAGGCCAAATCCCTCCTGCAGCTCTGAAATGGATCAGATGATGTAACAGTTCTATGAAAACGTTGGTTGCCTCCTTTAAAACCATCTCCACCCCCAGATGTCACATAGTTTTTAGAGTAGCAGGTTCAAGAACATAGAAATGCTTTGAAGTGATTCCTCCCTGGATGCATATACTTGAAAATCTTCCCAGCTTGAGGTGCTTTCAGAGGCCACATAGCTGAAAGCTGGCTTTTCCTACAGCTAAGTAACAGGCAAAATCCAGGGGAAGCACCATTTCAAGGCCTCACCATTGCCTTGAAGGAAGCTGCTACTCCCCAGCTAAAGGATGGGAGGTGGAGTTTCACTGAAGTGACAAATGCTTCCCACAGTCCAGATGGATTAGATGCCAGAGATTCCACAGTTCTGTGGTCCACCCTGCTTTTCTTTCATACTGTTAGTAGCTTAGCAATGATAGCATCTTACTGGCAGAAAATACAGTTTTCTTCTTCAACTCAGTTTTGAGATCAATCATTTTTTAATTTGAGAGGAGTTGGGATTTCTAAGATTATATTAGCCTGGGAGTAGTATCTAGCTTAGAAATGAAAATATATATATATAAGGCTAAAGCAGAGATGGACAACATTTTGTAGCATCAACAGCAATAAATCTTCATGGACTAGGGGTGATAACATCATGACTTCACTGGACTGAGTGGAGCCAATATTTTGGGAACCTGTAAAAAAAGTCTCATTCTTGCCCCAGCTCCTGCCCATCTAACAGTCCAAAAACATGCAAATGCTAGTAGATAAAGCATATAAAGGTAATACCGGTAGCATTCCGTGCACCTCAACGTATAGTCAAGCCAGTCACATGACCATAGAAGCATCTTCTGATAACATTGACTCCCACAGCTAGGAAATGGAGATGAACACTGATCCCTAGAGTCGGATATAACTGGACAGGGGAAACCTTTACCTTTTTTTAAAAAAAAGAATGAAGTAGATGCCTTCAAGCCTTGAAACATTTGTTTTGCCTTCTTCTGTGGAAGAGAAAAATTAGAGATTGAAGGACAAAGTTAGCACCTTAAATTTCTGCAAGGCTTAATAGATCACTTCACCCTTAAATTATCAAAATCAACCCACCCTACCCTCCCATTGACTGAAAATATCAATCCTGCCCACTGCCTGCTTGGTGTTGTGTTCAGACTGTAGGTGGCTCACCCTAACTAAAATTAGTAATCATGGATTAATTTTGGAATCCATGTCCCTAAAGAGCAACGCTGACTTGATAATCTAACTGGGAAAGATCTCATAAAACTGCTTATTTGAAATTCTATCTTCTTACACTATAGTGTTAAGATAGAAACTTTATGCATGTTTACTCAGCAGTAAATCCCACTGAGTTCAGTGGCCGATACTCCTGGGGGGAATAGATTGCACTGAAGCCCTATTATATGGTTTTGTTTGTTTATATTTAGTCTATTTTTAATATCTGTATAGAATTTGTTAATAGTGTGCAATTATAACTACATAAAATAATGCATTGTCAGCTACCAAAATTAATGCGTTTTAAAACTGAAAAAGAGAGGACTAGGAAACAGGATTATAAAATCCAAAGTCTGTTTCTTCCCTAGTGATCATGAATACTATTTTTGAAGGAAATGGCAAGGGAAAGAACTTACTGGAGATTCTCCAGAAGAAATAAAAATAAAATGCAGAAGTATCTTGTAGATAATTTTTAAAAATATTGTTTTCTGATAACAAGTAGAAGGAGATGCAGAAGAAGGGTGTTTGAACTCTTCAGTGCAAGACAACAGTGAGGTGTACAAATTGTCTTGATTGAAACAGATTATGAATTTGAGTCATGAACTGCTAGTAACAATCTAATGCATTATTGATTGGTCTCCATTACTCATCTTGCTGCAGTTGGCATGCTGAGCCAGTTGAACCTGGATATAGGTCCAAAGAATGTTTGGTTATTTCAATTATTTAATTTGTTCTACTTATATATGTATGATGTGAGATGGAGAGAATGCCTCCTCTTCCTCTGGTGTCAACATATTTTACTTAGCTTTGTTAGGTGGAGATAAATCATTTGCTGTTCTGCATTAGGCATTCATGTGCCCTAAACTGAATTTAATCTATTAAAAGGCTCACATTACAGCAGAATCTAAGCAGTCTGCTAGCTGCCTCCAAGATTAGCTCACCCATGGAAAAACACACATCAGTATAGCCTACAGTGGAAAAACAGTAGCCCTTCACTAGTGCCAGTTAATCAAGGACAACATGAATGCTAGAAGTTATATAGATGGTCATCCAACACATTGAAGACCACTCAATTGAAGAATACAATAGAAGTATATTCCATCATCTTGCCCATTTCAGCCATTCTGTTGTAGCCAATAGTGTTATACAAAGCTTTGCAACAGCCTCATTGATTCATGGTTCTCAAGGCCTTGGTTGGTAATTCTAGAACCAGAAGGTAACTAGAAGTCAATGAAGAAATCTGAGAACCTAGCTACTGGAACAGCTAGAAAAGGCATCAAATAATGCAATCTACCGCACTGTAGCAAATTGCATCACCTAAGTGACATGAAGTGCCTCACTAAGGCAAAGCATGGCTGCCTGTACAAGCTACTTGTTAAGATGCTCGTTAGTATGTGCTTTTTTATTGTTGATATCTGGTATCTGACTATAGAAATTTCTGAACAATTAGTACATTGATTACTTGCCCAGTTTTCCATATAATTTAAACCATTAGCTAAAATGTTTGGTGGAAAAAAGCATCATGAGCTAATCCACAGCCAGTCTATGTATCATATGAGTTTAAGATGCTAACTTAGGGTATCTGTGGATAGAGGAAGAAATACATCAAGAAAAGAAGCCATTAAGGAGATCTAAGTAGAAGGACAACTAGAATTAGGAAAGTTAGGGGGGGAACCTGGTTTCGTTGCCTGCAAATCAATCTGTGCTCAAATGCAGCCTCACCTTATGGCACTATCTCAGGATCAAGACCTACCAGACACATTGTCATAGCGTTGTGCTAATGGAAAAATGTTGGTTACTAATCCAAAACTGCCCTCCTCTGTGATGACTCTGAGTGACTTCAAAGTGTTTGGATTATCTCATAATAACAATTCATCATAATAACAGTGTCCCAAACACATGATATTTCAAAAACCCATTCAGGCTGTTGGGCTTCTTCACTTAGCAATTAAATCACATCAAACACCATTTGAGCCATAAGCATTCCTATCTGGGCCAGGATAAATTAATATTGCAAAACTGAATGATTTGCAATTAGTGTTCCTCGGGACCTTTGCAGTAATTCCTCTACTGTGTATTCTCCTATTGTTCTAGTAAGGTCTTTGCCTTGAAGTGATGTGATTACAAAATAAGGATTAATATTTAAAGATTGCAAAAGCTTAAAAACAAACCACATAAAAATACCTTATGCTACTGAGAAAGGCAATGATTTAAAACATTGACTTTTGTAGTGTCAACATTCTGTCT